AAAAATCAATATAAAGAGACGGTGAACAACCACAAAGAAACACAAAATCAACATAAACAGAACATGACTGTGAAACCACACAAAACAACCCCAAAATGAACAAAACAGACACACACGGCAACCAGACGGGTACAAACCAACCACACAGACACACAAAACGTGGACATGTTTATGATCTTGTGTTCTTGCAGCTGCAGTGGGAATAATTTAGTTTTCTGGAACAAGTTTGTGTCTCTGCTCAGCCGGGGTCAAAGGTTGTTTTTAGGTTTTTGTTTGAATAAAAACTGAATTTAAAATCGAGACTTTCAGACTAAAGTGTGTTTGGACTCACTCGAAGGTGAAGAAGAGGCCGCTGGTGAGCAGGATGAGGACCAGGGTCAGGTAGAAGACCCCGGTCTGCCTCGCCATCATGATCCTCCCGCCGCAGTAGAAGCGGTTCCTCCCCGGGAACACCTGCCACTTCCTCCGGGGGTTCCGGCTCCTGTGGGCCGGGCAGGACGGCGGCTCGCTGCCCTCTGCGGGGGCCGGGGACCCGCAGCTGCTGGTGCGGGTGCAGATCTGGTTGTACTGACCCGGCTGCTGCTGCTGCTGCTGCTGCTGTTGTTGCTGGTGGTGGTGGTGGTCCAGAGTCGCATGGTGCATCTGAGACATGTGTCCTCTCAGGTGAGCGCAGGTGAACGACGACGCGGTGATTAGAGAGAAAACCGATTCGGAGCAGCGCGCGCTTGTCGGTGCTGCGTTCAGGCGCTCCGGAGCTTCAGTCCGCCTCCAGCCTCGATCCTCGGGTCCGGGAGCCAGAACCAGAACAGAGCCGACATTTTCTTTATTTGTTTATTTATTTATTTTACCGCTTTTTAATTTCGTAAACAAACACGAACTCGTGGTCAGACGCACGAGCGCTGGCTCCACATCCAGAACCCCTCCACGACACCCCCGCCTCGCGCCCTCCGATCAGCGCCCCGATCACATACTAATCCGGCTTCTCGATCCCGGGATGCTGGGTCCGGTTGTGCGGGTGAGCCGGGGTCCGGGTCTGGAGACAGGAGCGGCTCCGGAGCTTCAGATGGTCCGTGTCGGTGAGGAGGAGGACGTGAAGAGCATCCTGATCCTCCGCAGAGCTGCTGGAGCTCCGACTGCACAGATCCTGTGTGAGGGAGGCGCCACTCTGGAGGAGGAACACAAACCTGACACACCAGCCGACACCTTACAGGCAGAGCTGTGGGCTGAAAGAGCCACAGGATGGTGAAAGACTGTGAATAGTAACTTTTACCAGAGTTTTGTCTGTCAGGTTGCATCCAGGTGGTCTCCTCTGTGGTGGTTTCTGTCAGGGAGCTGCATTTTGAGGACCTTGCTTTAACATGGCGACCACACAGTTACTCCAAACAGAAGCTGGCTTCTTTAGCCCACAGACCCTGGAAAATTAAAAAAAAAACCAACAACAACCAAAAAACAAAAACAAAAACAAATAAAAACAGTTTTGGGTTGAATAAACCTTTAAAACCACAACTTGTTGAAAGTGCTATTTTTTAAAGCACTATCTATTTCTATCTATTATTTAAGTTTGGTGTAGCTTTAACTGAAACATAAATGTTAAATTAAACTCCCAGTCTTGTCTTGTGGTGACAGTGGATGGGGAAGAGATTCTTCAAATGCAGTCTTAAATTGCAGACATGCCCCCCTGGTCAATCATTTTAATTTTAGAATGCTGTAAAGGTGTGATTGAGGAGGGAGTCTCAGAAAGTGTCAGCAGGTTTTCCTAAAAAACAAACTCTAATCTGAAATTAACAAATCTGCTGCACTCGTCAACACAGAGTCACATTTGTGAAAGCTTTATTCTAATTATTCTATTCTCCTTGTATATATTGTACATTTTATTATTGTTGTTGTTATTATTATGATGCATATGTTTAGTGCTGCTGTAACAATGGAAACGTCCCCCATGCAGCATGGAGAGCAACAAAGGATGATCTAATTTTATCTTAATTGTGAACACAAAAGAATGCAATCCCATTGCTTTCCCCCCCACATCCAGACCACATCAGACCAAGCTTGCATCAAATAGCACGCCAACTAGACGTGTCAAATTTGGACTAAATGATCAGACAGACTTTAACGACTGTTGAAAACACGGTTTCACATTTTTAAAGATTGATTCTGTTTTGCGGGCAGTTCTTTGATCTGGAGCTGCTCTGCTGCTGACTGGATGGAGAAAATGTGATATAATCAACTTTCTCTTGCTTTCAAAAGTATATGAAAGATTTAAAATGCCTGAAAGTAGGTTTATAAAAAGGCTAAGACTAAAAGGAATAGAATAGAATAGAACTTTATTGATCCCTTTGGTAGAAACCCCAGGGAAATTGCTGCACCAGCAACAACAACAACACAACACCAACAACAAAAAAGGCCACATTTCACAACACTGACAGTGTTTCATGGTGTGTTTAAAGTCCACAGCTTTGTCCCACGTTTGTAAACTTTTACTTTACCACAGTTTAGAGAGAAAAATACACTCTTAACTCCATTTGAATTATCTGACAGTTTTAATTGTTAGCTACAGAGCAGATTAACGTGTAACACGCAAAACATGCTGCAGATAATCAGATCTAGTCTAATTTCACACTTGAATAATTCTCTGAGACGGAGTGAGACCTCCTGATTGTCACCTCAAATTAACCAGCATTATAGCGCGTCAATAAACAATCTTTGTATCAGGATTCCGCCTGTATGAACGAAATAAACACATGCTTAATTTACAGTTGGGAATAAAACGTATTTCTATAAATACATTTTTATTTTGTACCACAGACTTTCCTCATTCGTACAAAATTAAGCACATTTGTTTCTTTTCGTTCCCGGTGACGTTGTTTCTGACCGGTCGTTTTACGGAGTCGGACCGCAGCAACATGACAGCGGCTGGTGGCAGCAGAGTTATGGATGCAGCAGAAGGAGCAGAAAGAGACAAAGACGAGAAACTACACGTTATAAAAGGCAAGACAGCAGTCAGCTGGTTAGTTAACCGGGTTAGCCTCGTATTAGCAGGAAGTGTTCTCCGGTTCTGCCGTTTGTTTTCTGTCTGAGGTCACAGCAATGTCGAGCTGCTGCACCAAACTCCAGTCAAAAGTCTGGCATTTTAACGCGCATCCAGTCACTGAGAAACCAGGAAAGAGGAGATGCGGTAGTTTAAGGTTAATAGCTTAACGGAAATTCCGCTTTAGATGATAAATGTGATTAAAGATTTTTCCTGAGACATTAAGTTCTTCTGCTCAGTTCGGCTCAGTAACGTCCATGAATCAGCCTGTTTATATATGTTGTTTTGTTTTGCTTTTTACTTACTTTTTCCTGGACTAAAATCCACTGTGGCGGGCAGAGCACCATCATGGATTTTACTCAAATTCAAAGTAATATCAAATTATTTTGGTGCCGAATGTAAAACCAGGTACAGAGCAGTATGGTGTGTTTGTGTGTATAGTGTGTTTGGCTTCATTAAATTCTTAAATATTAAAATTAAGAGTTTTGCTTTGGGTGTTTCTGCGTCGATAACAGGTGTCCACAACTTTGCCAAGGTTGGTTCCATATCACCTGCTGTGGTTTCCTCCTGCACAGATACTTTTTCCTTTTTTTCCCAGTTTTGCCAGAGACCTTTGCACAGGACGATAAAAATGCATCCATGGGCTGAGGTTTTGTATTGTTTTTAAAGCAGCTGGTTTCAACCTAACGGAGATTTCTGAAGTTTCCAGATATCACAGACATGTTTTTGTGTGTGCAGGTGCAGCGTTTCTGACCACGGTGGCGTCTGCAGGGATGATCGCAGGATTTGGCTCCACGTTGGCACTGGCCAAGAAGAAAAGCCCAAACTGGTTTAATAAGGTACACGTGTCCTGCCAGAGGGTTTGAATAGTTTTTCTTGTTTGTTTCTTTTTTTAGATTTTTGTGGCTTCCAGTGGAAATCTCTCTCCTTCTTGGAATCGTACCTCTGTGTAATCTGAGCACACTGTCATTAAAGACACATTTTTAAAGGCACCGTGATTTCATCTTTCTGAAGAAATCAGTTTCTCTGATGTTTGTTTTGAGTAAACATCCTTAAATCTGTTTAGAAACAACACAAAAAGTAGCTCCTTATAACTGCAGAAGGTGCCTGAGATTTTATAGGTTTTTAAGTATTTTATAATGTCACAATAATCCAGTGGTCGTTGTCGGTTACACTACAAACAGAAGCTGCTAATATCTAAATCTGTTGCATTTAACGGAGGAGATTAAAGTACGTAAAAGTACTTAAAAAACCGTAATCGCCATAGTTTGTGTTATAAAACAATAGAGTTGTAACTCATTTATTTCTGGACACAGTCATGAAACACACATTTCTGTATCCTGTACGACTCAATCTGGCACCGTCATTAGCACTGTGGCCTCGCAACAAGAAGGTCGCCGGTTTGCGTCCCGGTGAGGACACCCGGGATCTTTCTGTGTGGAGTTTGATGTTCTCCCCGTGCAGCGTGGGTTCTCTCCGGGTTCTCTGGCTTCCTCCCACACGGTCCAAAAACATGTTGAGGTTAATTGGTGATTCTAAATTGTCCGTATGTGTGAATGTGAGTGTTCTTGGTTGTCTGTCTCTAAGTGTAGCCCTGTGATAGACTGATGACCTGTCCAGGGTGTCTCCTGCCTTCACCCTAAGTCAGCTGGGATAGACTCCAGCCCCCCATGACCCTAGTGAGGATTATATAGATGATGGATGGATGGCTCTGTCTTTCTGAGGATGTCAGTATCTCTGATGTCTATCATAAGTTAATATTCATAAATCCACTCAGAAATAATAATAAAAAAACACTTCTTATCAGTGCAGAAGTTTGAGTGTTTTTAAGTTTTCTTCAGCGTCACAAGAGTCCAGTGTTTTCTGTCTGGATATCTGTGGGTAAATAACACACAGGAGCTGCTCATTGCTAAATCTGCTACTTTAAATGTGATAAAGTAAAAACAAAAACAAGCAGAAAAACAAGAGACTCGAGCTCAGAGTTTGTCTAAAGGGGGACTCACGCCGTTAGACTCCTGCATTCAATCAGCTGCAGCCAGAAGCGTTTGGGTACTTTGGACCACAGCCTCAATTATACTCAACTGTCTGACTTCATTTATCCCCAACTTGACTACATGTTCCAAGTTTTTAGAACAAATGTCACACTAGAAATATATATTTTTTTGTTTATTTTTATAAACTGAATGATTTGTCAGTTAATGAAATAATGTTGATAGTGTGATCAACTGCAGCCATGTATTGATATATATGATATTTTGGTTGGAAAAGCGACTTTGATCAGAGCTGATACTGTCAGCTGGTAGTCGACAGTCAGTCCTTTTGGATTAAATACTGGGTTTCAGTGTGGAGAAGCTTCTGATTGACATCAGGTTGTTCACGGTCACGGACACATGAAAACGGTGTAATGCTGTTACTGGGACGTCTGTGATGACGTCTGGTTTCCCTCCTGACTTGTCTCCACACATTCCTGCAGGAGGTCAACCCAAAAACAGTCCGGAGAAAATAACGCTCCATAAAAGCTCAGCGTGGCGTAACGCATGTTGAGACTCGATCTCGTCCCGTTAACTGGAACTGTGCTGTTATTGGTGCCTCACAGGACCCGATTAAACGTGACGCACATGGACGTTCGTGTCAAGATAAACTTAGCGTGGAGACAAAATCGAGGCTTGTAGCTGGACTCTATTTCCGTCACAGACTCGTCTTTGTTGTCTGCGTCGAGCCTCCGGGCCTCAGGCCGAGCAGAAATTATCAACATGTGAAATGCGATTAAAGCCGGAGCGGCATGTGGTTGAGGGCTGCTGTGTTAATATTCACGTGTTCATCTGCTGCGTTTGGACTGCAAAGCTTCTCGAATATTATATCGTTGAGCTATTTAATCAAACTATCTACATTATTTTTTTAACTGACAAATCATTTAGTTCATAAAAATGAACAAAGAAATCAATTTCTAGTGTGACATTTGTTCTAAAAACTTGGAACGTGTAGTCGAGTTGGGCCAGAGTTCAGGCTGAACCACCAGCTCAGAGGTCAAAGACAGATGCAGGAAAAACAGAAGCAGCAGTTTAGGTTATAAATGCTCAGTATTAATCAGATTCAGCCTCCTGAGTGTAGAACATGTTTCTGCATGACTCTGGAATTTAACCTTTATCCCCCTATGAGAAAGAGTCGGTGAAATACGAAGATTATTGACTTTGTCTAGAACTCACACAGAAAGTAACGTTACATTTTTCTTTGTGCACGGACAAGAAATACATCATCCATCCATCCATCCATTATCTATACACCACTTAATCCTCACTAGGGTCATGGGGGGCTGGAGTCTATCCCAGCTGACTCAGGGTGAAGACAGGGGACACCCTGGACAGCTCACCAGTCTATCACAGGGCTACACTTAGAGACAGACAACCAAGCACACTCACATTCACACCTACAGACAATTTAGAATCACCAATTAACCTCAACATGTTTTTGGACTGTGTGGGAGGAAGCCGGAGAACCTGGAGAGAACCCACGCTGCACGGGGAGAACATGCAAACTCCACACAGAAAGATCCCGGGTGTCCTCACCAGGATGCGAACCGGCGACCTTCTTGTTGCGAGGCAAAGGTGCTAATGACGGCACCAGATTGAGTCGTACAGGATATAGAAATATGTGCAAACTCTACGCAGAAAGATCCGGGGCGTCCTCACCAGGACTGGGGATCTTCTAGCTGTGAGGCGACGGTGCTCACCACTGAGCCACCTTGCAGTCACAAGAAATACAATATTAAGCTACAGTAAGATGCAAAATACAAAAAGTCTTAACAGAAACAGAAGCTTAAAATGTATTTTTAAACTCAAATATTCAGTTTATAGAGCAATTTTCATAATCAATTGTTCATTTAAATCTGTTGTTTGTTGTCTGTTATAGTCAATTATTTGTTTAAAACTAATTTTGAGAAAATCCTGCGGTTTTGCTGCTTTGGCACCTTCGTTCACATATTCCAGCTTCAGACTGCTTCAGTCTGAGAAGATGATCACTGTGTCAAGTCAGGTTCATCGGGTTCCTCCCCGACCAATCAGCTTTCACAACCCATGTGATGTCATCAGGAAGGAGGAGCCAGACTGACTTCCTGAAACAAAACTGTAAACAACAACCAGTGGGGTCATGGAGATTTTAGAGGTCCTTGTGGATGTTTTAGTGGTGTTTGGAGAACATTTAGAGATATTGTTTATGATTGTGCAGCTCTTTAAGGAGGTTTTAGTGATCTTAGAGGTTTTGGTGGTCTTCGTGAAGGTTTGACAGATTCTTGTTGAGGCTTTAGAGGTCTTCAAGGAGGTTTGAGAAGTCATTGTGAAGGTTTTAGGATTCTTTAACAAGGTTGAACTTCTTCAAAGGGGTTCTAGAGGACTTCAAGAAGGTTTTGGAGTTTCAGGAGAGATCTTAGAGGTCATTGCGGAGGTTCCAGACATCTTTAAGATCGTCTTGTTTTCGTCAAGGAGGTTTTAGCAATCTTGAAGACTATAGAGATCCTTGTGGACGTTTTACAGGAGATTTTTCATGTCCTTGTGGGGGTTTTAGAGATCTTCAGGAAGATTTTACAATTCTTCAAGTAGGTTTTAGAAATATTGGAGGTTTTAGAGGTATTCAAAGAAGGTTTACATGTCCTCCAAGAGGTTTAAGAAGTTTATGTAGAGGTTTTAGAGATCCTTCCACCTTCATGCAACATCTTACTGTCTGTCCGGTTGTTTTCTCTGCAGGGTGTTGCAGCAACAGCATTAGTACCAGAGAGTGGAGCATCTCTGGCTCTCAGAGCTCTGGGTTGGGGCTCGCTGTACGCCTGGTGTGGAGTCGGTCTGCTCAGTTTCGCTGTGTGGAAAGCCCTCGGTGTCCACAGTGTAAGTGTCTGTAAACCCACAATTTACTGGATGCACTCAGTGATGAGTTTATTCTGTGTTTCAGACAGTTCCAAGCTTCATGTGTTCAGTATTTAGGCTGCGGTCAGAGTTTCCTCTGTGAGGTCTGAAGGTCACCTCAGACTAAATCTAGAAGCATCCTCTGACTGAGCAGCATCACTGTATGAGACTGAGGGGAAAATACTGAGAGGGATAAAGCTGACCAACAGTTGTATAATTTCATGGATAAAATTGAAACGTTTTCATTAAAAAGCTGTGAAATGTCAAGATAATTTTAAGAAGAAATAAATTGGAGAACACATGGAAGGTGATCTACAGTACTGCTAAGATACTGATGAAGGAAACACAATAAGCTGACAAGAACTTGTTTTGATGGATGTTCTCACTGATAATATTTTCCAGTTACCTGAGTTCAGACATAAGATGCAGTCCTTTTTCCCGTCCATACCGAAGAGTGCCGAAGCTGCAGCTGGATCTGAACCTCTGGACTGGGACTCCGTGTTCAAGTCAGAGTCGCCTGAATCAACGAGAGACTGAAAACACACAAGGACATCAGCAAGACCTCTGCTGTTGTGTTTCCAAGCAGCTGTTTCTTTTGTTTCGCTCCGGAAGCAGCTGAAAAACTGGACGATCTACTGGACCAGTTTGTTCCTGGTCTGGCTCCCAGCAGCCCTCTGGGTTGACAACGGTTGAGTTGTTGTACAGTTGTGAAATGACCGAGCTGTGAGTTTTGGGACGAAGACGTCAAATGTGTCGAGGTGAACGTGAAGATCTGTCATTGTCCTCCACAGAGGATGCTCCAGTCAATATAGTAAAATAACATCCATGTTACTAAGCATTTACATGATTCTCTGAATGCGATCTTATGATTTCAGTCTCACTGTGCTGCTTTGTTGTTTTTTTTCTCCCCTCAGCTTTCTGTCACATTTGTCCTGACAGCAGTTTAGCTTCACATTCATAATTTTCTACTGTGGTGGTTTTTACAGCTGTGAAATGAATATAAAGGAAGCAGAACGCCACTGAAAATGTGTTAAATTCTATGTTAAAGGATGAAAAACAAGATCGAAAGGCCAGGATATGGTGCTGAAGTGATGCAGGAACAAACACAAAAAATGTTGAGGAAAAAAATCTGTAAAAATTTGTGAATAAAAATATTTTATAAAATCACACATTTTCTCATTTATAATGTGTCCATTATGTTTGTACATTTTGCGACACAAATCCCAGTTGAAGCTGGAGTCTATCCCAGCTGACTTAGGGTGAAGGCTTGGGCCTGTGGGAGGAAGCCGGAGAACCCGGAGAGAACCCACGCTGCACGGGGAGAACATGCAAACTCCATGCAGAAAGATCCCGGGTGTCCTCACCGGGACACAAACCGGCAACCTTTTGCTGCGAGGCAACATTGCTAACCACCGATCCACTTTGCAGCCCCTGGTATAAGTACAGCACAATCCAAACAAATCTGATTTAGACTGATTTAAATACAGCTGAGCCTAACAAAGTCCAGATTAGACCATGTCTAAATACAGCCAAATCTAAATAGATTCAGTTTAGACTGAATTGAATGCAGCTGAGTCTGGATCACTTCAATTTAGGCTGATTTGAATGGAGTCGAGGCCAAAGAAATCAAGTTCAGAATGATTTACAGCTGAGTCCAAATAAATCCAACTGAGACTGGTTTCAGTCAAATCTAGATGTAGAGATGAGATATTTGATTTAAACTGAGCTGAGTCCATGATGTCCTTAAAAGGCCACCGTACAAAGGATTATGTTGATTAAGATGATAATTTCTCCTCTAGTGCCACCATCAGGGCAAACTTTATATTTTTTCCCTTTATAAAGCTAAAGATCTCGGAATAGTAAAGTTAAAATGTATTTTTGACCCTAAAAACAGCTCCACAAAGTCCAGCTTACGAGCCGTTTTACTGGCTTTTGATCACATTTGAGCATTGTGAGGGAGAAAAAGTATGTTTGATACCAGAAAAAAATTAAAATACAAAAATCTACAACTACATGACAGTTTCCCTTTGCAGTGTAATGAACACTTCAGTCTTACATGGGCACAGAAGTGCTACTGAGGAATCACGCTGAAGCACAAACTTACCTTGTTCATAGATGGCAGTTACTCACTTGAGCAACTGAACCTTAAATTTCCTTTAAATCTTCTCAGTCTCAGTACATCAATAGCACATCAGTGTCTTCCTAAATGTGATCCAAAAATGTAGTTAGATCCTGAAAAACATCTGTTTAATGTTTCCACAAGCTGTAAAATAATCCTGTCACACAGTTTGAACAAATACAGTAAAAGTGTGGTTTTAAAATACGGCCATCGCAGTGAAACATTTACCTGCTGCTGCTCAGTCCAGAGACGCTGACATGACGAGTACAACATTAATGTGACGGCCACGGTTTGATAGCTCACCAAATATTCTGCTGCTGCTTCAGCCTCAGGTGTCATCGTCTCCGTCCTCGGTAGTCCCTACATTTAAAGGTTAACACTGGCTTATTTCTGATTGCTGGATTTTTCATGAATGTGGACGTTGTGGTGACAATTAGCATCGTGACCGTAGGAGGTCTTTCACAACTACTTACCTGTTTAGGAAGGAATCCTCGAGGACTCTTCTGACAATTTGGAAGAAAAAAAATACATTGTCCACTAAATTCTCTTCTGTCCAAGCTGCCATCTTTGTTTTGTCTCTGAAAACCAAAGTGAACGTTGAGATCCTCTCAGAATTTCTGGCTCAGGAAGATGAGGAGCATCCAGAGTTACCTGTGAGGTGAATCTTCATTTGGACGAACAGCTTCTTCTGCCCAGGATCAACATGTGGAACTCATGGGATCATTTTAAACTCACATGAAGGGAAACACATGTTTAAATTGGATCATGCTAACTGTGCATTCTCCACCTCTGTTGTAGTGTTTTGGGACAAACAAATCCTGAACCTCCTACAGCTTTCCAAATAAACACAACTGTCTCTGAGTTCGACCGCCAGTAAACACAGAAAGCAGCCAACTGGAACAAACATCATGTCCAGCTGCAAAAGGACTTGGATCCGGCTGGTTGACTGAATCAGCCTGTATACATTCATCTGCACACTGTGGTTTGTTAACATGGTGTTTTCATGTCTTCTGGTGAAACTTAAAACACTAACTGTCGTGATCGTCTTGTGGGCGATTATGAGGACAATCACAAGTCATTTCACCTTGATGGTCGACTATATATAATGGAAGTAAAGAGTAACTAGAGGAGGAGTTGAATCACTTTTGCCGGAGACCAAATTAAAGATCAAACTGGAGCTGAAGGACAAAAAAACCCTCCATTTTCAAGAAAAGCAGGAGAGCTCCAGTTTTCTGGACATAGTGTGAATAAAAAGCTGTGGAGAGACTTTAATCACAAAAAGCAAAACATCCTCCACAAATGTTTATAACCTTTGCACGGCTGCATGGTAACATGCTCATTTTGTAACTGGTTTTGGCATTTTCTAGCACATTTCTCAGTCTCCATATGACATTCATAAGTTATAAGACATGTCATCTGTGGCTGTTGAAATGCTAATGTTAGCAATAAACACTGACATTAGCAGAGGTGACATCAAATTAGTTTGTTTTTCAAATCACAAGTAAGTTTAAAAAAAAAAGTCTTGAGACAAGACTAATAAGATTCAAGCTCCAAGTCGAGTCTTGTGAAGTCTCAAACAAAAGAAACCCCAAAGAAGTCCACCATCAAGTCCTATGTCCAGTCCAACAAGCCCCAAATCCAAGACAAAAAGTCCTGTCTTGGTCTCAGGACCAACAAGTCCCAAATTGAGTCTCATTTGAATGAATAAAGACCAAGAAGTCTAGCAATAAGCCTCAAATCTGGACCCACAAGTCCTAAGTCAGGATTAACAAATTCTAAGTCAAGCCCAAAAGCAAAACCCATAAGCTCTGAATCAAAACAGATAAGTTCTATTTTGATCCCAAGACAACAAGTCTCAAGCGAAGTCCCATTTGAAGTCCAAGAAGCCCTAAGTACAGACCAAGATGTTCAGAGTCAAGACTTACGTCAAGATGTCAAGACGTAAGATGTCACAAACAAAACCAACAAAGTTCAGAGAAGACTACACAAGTCGAGTCAAGCTCCAAGTTAAGCTGTACATGTCCTAAGTAATCTAATTTGAAGACAAAGAAGTCCTGGAGTTGAGTTGCAAGTCCAGACTAAAGGGAGGACTGCCAACTCCCACAAGAAGTTCAAAATTAATACGTTAAAGTTCCAAGTCAAGTCAAACATAGAGACCAAAAAGTCCCATTTGAAGTCCTGTTCTACATGTCCCAAACGAGTCCCAACATAACTCCTAAATCAAGATCAACAAGTCTGGAGTCAAGTCCCAAGTCAAGACCTACATGTCCCAAGTTAAGAAAAGTCCATGATCAAGATTCAACTGGGGGCCACAAAGTCCAGAGTCAAGACTGACAAGTCAAGACTGATGAGTCCCAAGTCAGGTTCCAAACTAAGCCCCAGGTTAAGCTGTACATGTCGCATGTCAAAATCTGCATGCTCCTATTCAAGCCCCAAGTGCAGAACATGTTCTATAATCTACAGGTTTTGTTCATCCTGACTTGAATCCACACGTCTGAACAGCAGCATTCAAAAAACAGATCTCAGAAGAGGAAAGGCTGTTTTCTTCCTGCTGATGTGTGATGACCATCACAGCCTCAGGTGGCGCTCCTGGGGCTGCACGTCCTTACTTTTAAATACTGCCGCAGTTTGGACCTTGGACTCACAAAACCAGCCCAGAGCTGCGTTCACAGTGCTCAACCAGAGTTCATGTACGTTTATTCTTTAACATGTTGTGGAACATATAAAGATCTCATACTGAAGAAACAACGTCTGTCAAATCAAACAGGAGACGTTCTGAATGTAGAGATTTTCTTTTTTCTCTCTTTACATTTGTTATAACTGTTTCTGAAGTCGTGTCAGTTAACAACATGAGTACAGTCCCGCCCCCCAACCTCCTGTACATACAGTCTCTCAAATCAAACACACCCTCCCAGATCAGACCCCATAAACATCCTGAAACTGAGGCTTTTCTTTAAATACAGAAAAAGAAAACACTCTTCACCTGCTGGGAAGAGAGAAACTGAACGTTCAGGTGAGCAGAAATGTGATTATAAATGATGACCGTTAATTCATTACCAGCTACCGTCACCGAGTCATGACACCATGTGTTGCAGCTCAAATATACATCGTCTATTTACAGGAGGATGATGACGGTGGAGGGAAATTTGGACTTGATTGGTGGAGGAGACATAAAAAGTTCTTAAAAAACAGAAAGTGACGCAGTCCCCCGTTCGCTTGATACTGCTGTGGTTCGGCAAAATACTGATGGTCAAACGGCAGATGGTCAAATAATTCACATTTAAAAACGCCCAAAACAAACTTATTGCACCAGAACAAAGTACATGACTGAACATCAGTGTTTCCTCTGTCATACCACATGAGAAAAGAAAGGCCTATCTACAACATGTGTCACTATTTAAATAACGCTGACCCCGCCCCAGATCTAACTAACCCCACCCCCCAAACAGAAAGAAACGACCACGTCTGTTTAAAAACATCGAAGAGAGCCAGAACCCGAGCGTTCTCCACCGTCACACTTTGGTTAAAACAAAAACAAAACAACAAACTGACAAAAGAATTAAAAAATTAAAAATACAAGTATTAAATATTTTTGTATTAAAATTACTTAAAAATCCCAAATAAACATTTGCGGATGGAGCCGAGGAGCTATATATATTCTATATATATTCATTTGTATGTAAAAACATTTGTTTTCTGTTCTTTAAATAAAAATATAATAGGAGCCAGTTCGTCACATGGCGGAGCTGCTTCCAGTGCCACTGAGCATGCTCCATGGTGGTGTTTGTGTCACGAGCGGCCGATTTTAAACAGTACTTCACACATGATGGCCGCCACAGAGGAGTTGAGGGCGGCTGAAAGTGAGATGTCCAGCAGCCGGCTCTCATACAGAACAAACTCCGTCCGGTTCTCCTCTACCCTCGCCATAGCCAGCAGCGCCTTGGCAGCGCGGCACATCATGTTGATGCTGGGCGGCTCCGTCGGCGCCGTGGCGTGCAGCAGGCTGTGTGGATTCTGCTGGTATTGAGCCACAGCCACGCTGTCCTCAAG